CGGTCATGACCCCAACAGGGCCAGTCCTTATCGGAAGTGTGATTCTTCCCTTTGGGAGAACCGTTTTCCCATTAAAACCAACCAACGCGGTATTAGCTAGCTTAAGATCCTCTTGCTTTAGTTCGAGCTTCTAGAAGAGCTCTATATACATGATCTCAGAGAAGCTTCCTGGATCAATTAGTACTCTTTTCACATCATAGTTCCCTATTCGGAGGGTAACCACTAAGGCATCATTGTGCAGCTAGTGTATTCCGATCAAATCCTGCTTGGAGAAACAGATTGTCTTGACTGCTTCTTCCAATTTCATCCTCTTGCTTCTAAATTTGGGGGACAATCGCAGCTGATTAACTTCTCTTCCTTGAGCCGCTCTCTGGATGTACGCCCTAGCAGCATTATTTGTTGCCATTTAGGGATATGTTGCAACGTGAATTACGTCGATCACACCTGTTGCAGTGGTTTGGTCAACTTAAGGTTCAGCCCTTCCGCCATTAGCTCGATCAGTGCCATCCTTAATGAACTGAACAAGATGCCCTACCTAGGCCAACTCTTCCAAATGTTATTTCAATGACCAACAATTGTCAATCATATGCCCCACATCCTGATTATAGGAGCATCTGAAATTAGGGTTCCTCTTCAAAGGGTCTCCTATGAGCTTATTAGGCCACTTGAAATACAGCTTCCCCTTAATCTGAGTCAATATTTTATATATTGGCTCTTTGAACATTGTGTTTACCCCTACAAAATGGGATTTCGAGGGGAATCCCTCTTTGTCTTTCTTCCTCCCAATATCTCTGTTTGACTCAACTTGTTTTTCTCGGCTAAATGGCTTTCTACCTGTCTGTTCCTTTCTACGTCTCTGGACAGGTCATCGTCGACTTTGGCATACTTCTCAATTCTCGCCCTTAACTCCCCCATGTCTACGACAAGTCTCTAGTAAGGGATTGATACAAGGGGTTCTCTTTTGGCAATCCAATTTTGAAGGAAGCTACGGCAATCTCTAGGTTACAAGTTTCAATTTTTTTCATCGTTTTTCCAGTAACGGTGAGCGTATTCTCTTAAAGTTTCAATACTTCTTTTCTTCAGTGTTAGCAGTGCCCAACATCTTTGGGTTGTCTGCTGCTTGTGATGAACCGAGCTGTGAATTACTCAGCTAGCTGTGTTCATCCATCTATTGAGCCCTTCAGCAGACTGTCGAACCGTTTCATGGTTGACTCCTCAAGGCTGCTGGGGAAAATGGTACAGAGCAACGACTCATTCTTCCGATGAATGGTCATAAGTTGTTGGTAATTCCAGATGTGAGAGGTCAGATCTTTCTTCCCGTCATATAATTTAAAGCTTGAGATTGTGAATTTACTTGAGACCTGTCCTCTCTCAATCCAGCTAATGAAGGGGGAGGACTCCACATCGTCTCCGTATTCCCCGGTGACTATTCGGGCTAGATCCCTAGCCGATTTTTGCTCTGGTCATCTTAGTCGGCTATCGAGATCTTCAGTTATGAATTGCTTCCAGGAGTCCTCATCCCGGCCCCGATATCTTTGCTGTTTATGTTCCATTTCCTCGGTATCTTCTCTTTTACTTCACTTCTTTTTAGGACTCTCCCATCGGTTTTCCTTGCAACGTTTGTCCCTCTTGGTCATTCTCTTTAATCTAGCTTTCAATTCTTCGTTTTCTTTCATCAACTCTCTTTCCCTAGTGTAGGATTTCTTGAACAATTTGTCATGTGCGTCGAGTCGGTCTTGGAAGGACTAAACCAACTTTTCCAGAGCGGGGTTCTCCCCCTCGCTATAGAGGGATTTGCCCCAGTCGGCATCTTGTAAACTCTGTTGTTCATATGGCTTAAAACTTGCTGAGGACAACTCGTCATCCTCCCGTGACTTGGCTGGGCAGTTGTTCATATCCACCCTAATGTCACTATCGGATGGAAGTGACACTCTGTAGTTTGGATCAGAATCCTCTTAGGCCAAACTACCTATAGGTGAGCCGATGATACTTTTTTGTCTTGGCATTGGCTTTTTGTTTCGCTTGATGAAAATCTTCCCATAGACAACACCAAAATATAAGGGGCAAAAACAGGTATACCTCCTACAAGAGTGAAAGATTGATATTTTTTATAAGAGTGAGCTCTGAACTTAATTTTCCTGTCTTTCCTTCTTGCAAAACAAACAAACTTTCCAAAATTGAAGTGCTTCGATCAAAGGTACTTTGATACTTAAGTCAGTAATGGAACTGGGTGAATTGCAAACAAACTAGGAGAGTTCAGCGTACTTTTCACCTTGGCTCCTTATGTCTTTTATAGAGCTCTGCTTAGTTAGGGTTTCCATCATTTTTTATTCAATGTGATACACTTTCCTTCAATCATGCAACTATATTTAGAAAGTTGTTGAAATCTCTCCAGCAATTCCTTCTACCAAGTCTATGATCATGCCCATTCGTTTGACCAGAATGCCTAAATTATAGGCATCTTTTTAACATCTCATTTACTGTTTGAAACAGCTCGGTCATGATGAGGACCGAGTTCGTTCCCTCTTTCCCGATCTTTCCGAACAACTCAGCTACAGTTTGATGACTGAGTGATGTCTTTCTTACATGGTTGATCTTGTCACCCTCACGTGAGATCATTTAATGTGAATACACGTGTCATAAAAGGAGCAACCCCCTTCAGTAAGTAATTATATTGGTAAGCAATTATAGGGGGTTTCGGGCTATGAGATAAGCCATCTTGCATCATCGGTTGGCTAAGGGGTAAATGAAAATGATTATTTTTTTTAAAGAAACGATGAGGGTAGGCATGATAAAATTCGAAGCCAGATGCCTCCATACATCACAATTTTCAAAAAAAAAAAATATACGTATTGTTAGTTCAAGAACAATTTTATTATTAATACATCCAATCATTAAAACTTCAAAAAAATCAAATTTCTCGGATTCATTAAGAATATATGCTATAATAGCACCCAACGGAGTAATGGCCACATCATCGTCTTTAATAACATTCATAACCATGGCAGCATCTCCTTCCAAAATAATTTCATCCAACTCTAGTAGAAAAGCAAAGTGGACAATTTATTTCTGTATTTAATCATATTTTTAATTGCTCATACTCTTGTTATAGTGCGAGGCTTGAAAGTATTCAAAATTAGACAAGAAAATATTATTTTTCAATTGTTACTTGTTGGGTTAGGGTATAGACAATCGCTATTAAAATGATAGGAAAACAAAAGTTGATTGTATAAAAAGAAGGAAAAAAAATTACTTACAAAAAGGATAATTACCATTTCAAACTCTTAAGATATTGACAACTTAACTTGATTCTCCAAAGATTATAACTATATATTAATTTCATTTAAAGATAATTAAAATTTAATGTGAGTTTTAATTTTTCAAGAATCAAAGTGAAATTTTTAAATCTTTAGAGCGTAGGATGCCATAACCCTTACATAAAAAAATTATTTTTTGGACAAAATATCTTTGTTTATCTATGTATTTTATATTTTTTGTGTTGTTTTCTTTTCTAGTAATAAGTTATTCGGGCTTTCTAGTATTGATGGTTAACTAATGGCCGCAAGTCATAGTGGTTTGGGTAGATGGATGGGTCCATCTGATGAAGTTTCCTAGTTTGTGGGGTCCGGCCACACACACACACACATATTATAAGGTGTTCAGGTTTGTGTCGATTATTTACTCAAACTCTGATTATTGTGGCTTAAGCAAGTCTAGAGCACGTTCCCCAAAAGGACAAGGATGACTAGTCATTAGGTAGAGTTGAAAGCGATTAAACTTGAGAAATTTGAATTACTAAATGACAGATTCAACTACTAAACCATCCTTAAAAGGTTTAAATAAAAATATATGGTTCAACACTTTTTTTTTTTTTTTGAATTATTAGATTTAGTGTACAAATTTGAAAAAGGAGAGATTTTAGTAGGAAAAAATTGGCAATAGGTTAACGATATTGTCAAATATTAGAAAAATAATAGAGAAAAATTGTTTCAAATATCAGTTGAAATTGAGAGAAATTGGGTCAAATGGCGGAAAACATTTCACTAGCTCGATTGTCCATATTCCACAAAAAGCCTTGATTATGTTTTAACTACCATAATATGATCCTACAGCACAAGCTCCAATTATCCCCCAAACACTCCTCTATTTTCTTTCACTTGTTCAGTTTCCTGTTCTATTTACTTTCCCACTTTGTAATCAAAATACACTCGTTTTGAGCGACTCTCTTCATAATGAGGAAGAGAAAATACAATTTTTCGTAATGTAGATGCATTTGGGACGATTTCTGTATTCACTTTCATAGCCTTGGTCTCATAACAATATTTGGTATCCTGCTCTAATTTTTACATACATATGTCAGACTAAGACAGTCTTTTTATGGAAGAATTCCATGGCCATATGAGAACCACGAATTTCACACTACCCTTGTCTAAAATCTCTAACCAGGTGCACTTTCAACTTCAATTTGTAAACTACAATTCATGTGCACTATTAAATTGTACCTGCACTTTAGATTACTTTACCAAAGCCAAGTTCTACAGCAATCCAAATGTACCTGCTATAGAAGGTGTCTGTTTCGGCAGGACTGAAAAGACAGTCCATTGAACGACACTTCAATCATTGCATCATCTAAAGAGAGTCAGATGTACACAATCTCACTCTTGAATGCCAAAAAAGTTGTTTCCGCAAAGCTAACCAGCTAGATTAAATTGGAAAATTTCTTTTGGCTGAGTAGAGAATTGATACTTAAAAGTAGAGAACAAGGATAGTTGAACTCCTGCTTGAAGACTGGGGTAAGTTGGATAGCAACTTGACACAGAAAGCTGGCAGTAGATTGAATGGCAAAATGGCCTTTCTGCCTCTACAACTTCAGTTCATTTGATTACCTATAAGCAATCATCTACTATGAACACAATGAGATTAGCCACAACTCACTGTGAAACTGCTATAAAGAAAAGGACAAGTATGTGCATTCAGTAAATTCTCTCATTTAGCCGAGACAGATCTGAAAATCAGCGTAAAGAATCGGTTTGTTTCTTGATACATAACCTGTGAATAGTCACAAAGATTACATACTGTTTCCATTACTTGAACCACGTCTTAATTCACACCAAAAAAAAATTGACATAAAAAAAAGTTGACAAGAAATGAGACTCCTGCTTGACATTAGGAACAACTAAGCAGGTTTAAAAAAAAAATCAACAGTACCAAAAACATTATTATCACCTTCAACGATGTAAATAATCAGCAATCGAAAGCCCTCCTCGCCAATTATTGAACAAATAATTTCATCCAAGCTCCTACACTTATACAAACATATGATATACATCTGTCTACCCTTAAATACCTCCCTGATATCAGAAACCAAAATGAACTACAACACGATGATTTTCTTCCTTGCGCCTCCAGTAAAAGAATAGATTCTTTTGTGCAGTGTTTATAGAAGGCCCGCATATGGGTTGTAGGCTTGAGCAGGCATACCTGAGCCATAGGGGTGGACATTGGCTCCATACTGATTGCCAAATGGATTTGCAGGCTGTTGTTGTGGGCCCATCATCATCATCTGCTGCTGCTGCTGCAACATGAAAGCCTGCTGCTGGTGGGCCATGGCTGCCATCTGCACCGAAGGTGGTGCAACGATGGTGCTTGAGGCGTAAAATGGGTCGTGTGCTGTTTGTGGCATCATGGGACCGACCATTGCACCTTGTTCCCATGGATTGTAGCTCACGCTCTGGTTGCTTCTTCTGATTGCGTCATCATATAGACTGTCTAGTGTGAGTTTGTCCAGCCCTCCAGCCTTTTTTTTTTTTTTTTTTCAAAGTTTGAAGCATCAGTACAAAGTACGACTCATTAAGAACTTTTTCTACCCTCACAAACGAGCTTGTTTACATGTGTGTGCCCACATGTGTATTGTATATCTATTTACAAACAAAGAGGAGAGATAGAAGCTATCTATCCCCATTTGAAATCACCAAATATGGAAGGTATAATTTTATGACAATCATGACATCCTAAAATCTAATAAATCATTAAAAGGGAAAGATATAGACCAGAACCCTATATGGAAAAATAGCATAGCACAAAATAATACCAGTCTGCTAGCAGTTGCCGCGCTCTCATTGGAGCTAGGAGCAGAAACAAGTGCCAATTCCCAGCCCGTAGTTCCATTTTCCAGAATTGCACCAGTAGAGGTTGGTTGGTCAGTCGTGCCTACAAAAGCCATACAAAATTACATTAAAGCTGTTTACCGGGAAATGATATTGAATTCGAATAGGAGCATAGTCAAATGGACAAATCAAATACTAAGCCCTCAAATTTATACGGGTTCCTGAAGTCAACACAATAATATTATTGAAAGGCATAAAGTTCAAGCTACTCAAAACAAAGTTAGCAGGATTGATCAGAAGAGTTTTCACGACCAAATTAACTTCCAACTTACTGTTCCATATGATTAGATTATAAATCGAACTTACCAACTGGTACAATAGCCAGAGCCATTGCATTCTTTTCATCCAACTCTGAAGCCTGTGGACTAGGATCATTAAGGCCCTAGCAACAAGGAAGCACATCAGTTTGAGAAGGCTACAAATACTCCACCAAACATCAAATTTGTGGAAAAACATTAAGTTAATACAACGACCAAAGAAATATTCTGAGAATTACCAACAGGTCAGGTGTCGCAGCTACAGGAGCTTCCACTTTAACTGGTTCTGGACCTGGTTCTGGTTTAGGTGGTGGGGATGGTGGGCGTGCCTCCTGTACCTCTGGGTTTTTCTTGTTCTCTATGGCCAAGATTACTTTGGGTTTATCATCAATTGCCTGATTCATTGAATAAAGGGAAGCTAAAATATTAAATGGAATTATATAAGTATCATGTAAAATCCCAAGCAATCTAGAATTTTGAACGATATTACTAAAGAGGTTTAACATGGATATTGCAATAACAGGTCAAAGCTTTTATAAATGTAACATATTATAAAACTAAAAAAGTTCTGAAAATGTTCATTTTCAGATATATAGATGGTAAGATGAACAAGGGGACTTTATCCAGTGCAAACACTTAAATAGCTAAACTCAGTCAGTAATCTGAGCTAGATCTATGGACCAACTTACCTTCATTCCACCGGAGAAAAAAAAAACTAAATATCACAAGATGTGTCATAAAACTATAAGTAGGATTCATCATTATCATTTATGAACTATTTGGGAGTTAATAGTGCCTTATTGTGTGAGAAAGCCGAGATCTTTGTCCTATGAGTTCAGATATTACATCTATGCCTATATCTATAATACTAAAAAAAAATCACTTAGCTTGAAAAAGTTTTGATTGATCAATATACCCTTATGAAAATAGTTAATGACATTCAATAACTTAAAAAGACAAATGTTCGTTCATAGAGATAGAGTTTACGTAACACCATTACTACCATAATACCATTAAATAACTCCAAACAAAAAATAGCCCTTCATTTACCTACAACACACAAACACCCAGAGTACACATGCTAAATTTAGCCATATGAAAATAATAAATAATGAATGATAAATAATTCAAAAGTTGTAATGTCAAGACGTTTTTCAAACTCGAGTCAATATGTTACCCTTAGACTATACATTAACACAACCCTATCATTCCAAATTATAATATGGATCATTAATTTCTTTGTTTTTCTCTTATTAATAGACTTGTCTTAAATAACCATTTGAATTATATAACATGGTATTGCTAATAAAGATATAAAATTATGGAATTTCATTTAACTGAATTATATATACATTCGTGTACATATTTTCATATTTTTCTATAGATCATTTGAAATTTACTTTACCTAAATTTGGTAGCGTGCAATGTGTATGGTTTTACTAGTAATATTTTAAAGGCTGCATCCACAAGCTAAATTTCGGAAACTCAATTAAACTCATCAAAACTTGTTCCCCAAAACCACACATCATGGACAATTTAAAATGTCTCCTGATAAGCAGTTGTGTTATAGGCTGATATATCTACTCTTTTGCTTTTCTTTTTGTCACATACAGCATTTTATACATTGCTCCCAGTCCAAGATTTAAACAAGTTTAACATGGGCTTTCATACCAAATCCTTGCGAACCGTGGAAGCTCGAGGCGCCTCTCTCACATACTCTTCCATTGCTTGTAGAAATGATGCAGGGGGCTTCATTACGAATCAATAAATAGACAAATTGAGTTATTTGAGATTTTCAAAAAGATATTCAGAAGAAATCAATTATTTTCCAAAAGGTAACAAAAGAAAATCCAAACCTGCTCAATCTTGATAAACCTTTCCCCGCGTCCCACATCGAGGCCTTTACATATTTCATAGAACTCTGATAGTCTCTCAGCCTGAAAATGTGGAGAAAAATTAAGAAATATAAACGGAAATATGCCAAAAAAGACAGAATTATTTCCCCCCATCTAAAAAATATTCTCAATGAATATAAGGAAATTTTTACTGAAGATAATACCTGCTGTCCAGCCCTTCGGTATATATCCAGAGCCTTAATAGCATCATTGCGTTGCATCTCAAAGAACTGTCAAAAATAGAGGTTAGCATATGTCTGTGGTCTGCTCTGTAACCAAAGTCCACTTTAAATAGACAATCACAGCCAACCTTGTCAACTAAATTAACTGCACCATCACTTATAGCATTGTAAATTTTAATGCTTTCCAAAGCAACCTATACAAAACAATAATGGACAATCAAAACAAGATAATGTTACATGAAAGTCACTTATATGAAATCATGATCGTGCAAATAATGAAGATCTTCACTAACCATTGAAAGTGCTAATTGAATCACAAAATTATGAACTGCTGCTCCTTGTGGCTGCAATCAACAAGGGGTATAAAAAAATAAAATGAGATATTAATTCCATGGTACAAGCTGCAAGATTATGAAACCATTTGCCTTTGAAAAGAAGACAACATTTACTGGATTAACCACCTAATATAGAACTAAGCAATTCATAAAAGTTACCAGGCAGCCAAGCACGCGAAATAGGAGGTCTTGCAAAGAAGGTAGCTGCTCAAGCAACTCAGGAGTGTCCAGATCTTTGGTTCTCTGCGCCACAATTTCCATTTTAGGGTTGTCTACAGGAAAAACTACTATAACCCCCCCCCCCCCAAAAAAAAAAAAAAACACTACTAACTGCATAAGAAATTGTGTTAGTATATATCACAAATTAGCTATTTCTTTGTAATCACTGGTTAATGGGATGAAGAAGGATGGCAAAGAAGTTAGTTTCAGGGGTCCCTCACTTATAAAAAATAAGGCCCCAAAATTAAGCTTTTTGATAAGGAGGGGAAAAGTAAGTGACTGAAAAAAGCTTTAACGAAAAAAATAAAGAATGCAAAAGCGACAAATTTTGAGCCTGGAAAATTGTTAACGACTGAATGCATACAATTCCCCAATTTACAGTATGTCACAACTGAATAAGAAGAATATCATGCTAGCACTTCTAGCTACCAAATGATATAATTACAAGAAAATATGCATTCAAACAATTCCCCATCTAAAGTTAGTTCAACATAGAAAGTACATATGTTGGCCTTTCACATGCATTAAAATGCATGAGTTCAGTGTATATTTTGGACACCAAAAGCAGCTCTACCCAGAATAAGCTTAAACCTTCAAAATAGAAAAATATACTAAACAAGAATGCAAAGATCCCATATTCCAGTGAATTTATAGAAAAGCAATAGCATGCTACAGAAGGTATAGATAGTTTTCTTACAGGGCGATCTGCCTCAACATCATATTTCAGCACACGAAAACATTCCAGCCTCTCCTCCAAAAATAACGCATAAGTGCGCACCCATGCAGAGTAATCCCATGCTGTGCAGCATATTAGAACACATTCATCACCAAAGAACTCAACTTTTCTAAATTCAAGTGTAGTCACAAGGAAAATAGATGACATACCATTTGGACTGGAATCATCCTTGAAGTGAGCCAAGTTGAGGATATGGCTTCTGCTCCTGCCATAGTTGATAAGTTCTTCTTGGAATGTTGGGTCCACTTCCCTCAAAGCACGATGAATAACAATCAAAGTTTTCAAGGCAACCTGACCATCAAACACACCTCAACAATAAAGTACACATCCAAGAATCACCTACTTATCAAGAATAGGCAAGTATCCAGTCAAGCTGACGAGTAACTAAGATAATACAATCAATCACAGCCATCACCAATCTGAAGTATCTTTCACTAACATCCATCATAGTGATGTCAGAAACTAAAAAGTCCCACAATAAACCAGATGGCAAAGAGGTTTTACTGAAATGGTAGATGACAGAGTGTAAATTTAGAACCATCCAGGACTTGGATACACCATAACACTAGAACATTATGTATTCATATTTATATGTTGGTCATTATCAGCAATATGACATAGGAATTAATACCTATTCCATGAGAGTATTTATATGAATGTACACTATTACTAGAAGTAACTTGATTTTGAGAAGAGAACTTGATTTTAGGAATGTACTAAATTTTACGAAGGAGCTTAGTTTTGGGTTTTTATTCCTTTTTAGAATTAATCAAGTCAGATATTACCACCATTGACCATGGATTCAGGTTCCAACCATCATGGAAATTTGACCGCGTTATTGATATTATTCCCGAATTCAATTACCGATCCGTTGACCATCCAAATATGTAATCCAGGGATCTAGGAATGCAATTCTCACCAAACCAAGTTACTGCCATCCCATTGGGAATTATAGTATTCATTCTCATGCTTCATGTTAGCCACTCCACCGTTTGATATTTCCTCCACTGATACCAAAGCAAGCATCTTGGTAGGAAATTGGATTTATCTTGACTCTTGAGGCCAACCTTTCTTAACTTTTAGCAAGTGTGTTATCAGCTGCCAAATTTAATGAGGGACAATTTAAGCCAATGAAGGCCTCAAACAATTTGTGTAGAGTAGGCAATTTCAACGCACATTCAATATAGTTACCTCTAGCTTCTTCAGAAGAGAAAATAAAGAAAGTAACCATTGTCAGCAATAAAACAATATGTGAAGTTCTACTTCAGCTTCTCTCCACTGTATCTCAATCACTCAAAAATTTATAACATAATTCAGCTAATAAATACTCAAGAGCTCCTAGAAATCTCATTAACATTGTCTGATTTCCTGGATTCAAACCTGAATGTTGACACAAACAGCAGCTTCAACGAAACATACAGCATGCATTAATGTTTACTTATATTCAGTGATAAAGAATTAATCAACCAACAGAGTTATCACATAATAAACATTATAAGCTTGAGTGCCTACTGCCCAATTATGTGTCTTTGCCAATCGTCTTGCAAGAGCATGTATGCAGTAAGCAACATCAGCTCGAGGTCTTGTAGCAGACACAGCTGCAAAAATAGCTGCAACAAGAAATACAAAAGAACTGCTTCAGATCCCTAGCTTTACGCAGAATTTAATATACAAGCACAATAGAGGTAAAGTGACAAAATAGAGGACATGCCACCACACAAAAAATTTCATGTCACTGACCTCTTATGTACTTCTCTTTTGCCAGACGCTCAACATGATTTGTCGCCTTAACAATAGCAATGTCCAATTCCTACAAAAAAAAAAAAAACCCAAATAGAAATAACAAAATCATCTCTAATGCAACAAACATAAGAAAATAAAACCATCAACAGAATTTAATTTATTCATACCTTGTAGTCACTATTTATTTTAGCCAAACTGACAGTGGTGGTATCCTTAATGGATCCAAGTGCTTTTCTCAAGCTATTTTGTGTGCCCCCTCCCGACATTCTCTCTCAATCATAAGAGTCTACATGAGGCCCAACGAGGAAATAAGGTCCATTTATTTAAATGAATATCAGCTTACCATAAACAAACTAAATAAGTCCATAACATTGAAGATGAATAGGAAAAAAAATTCTTTCAAAGGCAAGCATGTATCACAGTTTCGTTTAAACCATTAATGACCCTTATACTTATTTAGAGACCAGAAAAATGAGAGAACGGAAAGAAGAAATCCTTGTTGCAAAACTAAAGTCAAACTTACAATTGGTGGTTATATTCCTTTATATACAGAAACCATCCGAAGATGTAACTATTATGGATATGGATTCAATCTGATTTGAACAGCTTCGGTTACTATAAATTAAACTTGAATCTAAACAACACCAATCCTTAGAAAACAAAAAAATCATCGATACCCGGAATATGATTTTGAATTACCAGCAACAATCGTCAGCCTGTGCTAATTTTTTGTGTCTATATACTCATATATGTGTGTGTGTGTGTGTGTGTAATATCAATAGATACTCTTGGATTTCACCAAATGAGAAATAAATTCACATAGAAATGTTCTCGTTTAGGGAGAGATGATATCATAACAGCACAGAGGCACAGAATTACAGCACAAATAAGTAGAAAATAATCACAGCAACTACAATTCAGCATAGAGTCACATATCTAGACATCAAATCAAACCAGGGGTAATCATTCATAATACGAAAATCACAAAACCAAGCTTTCAACTAAAAGATCCAACAAAATAAAACACAAATACTAGAAGTCAAAAGTTACATTTCACATTAGCCTTTTCAGCTCATCAATCAACACAGATTCATAGAGAGAGATCAGCAAACAAATGGGTTTACTTTTACCTGAATGGTAGATAGAGAGAGAGAGAGAGAGAGAGAGGAACAGGTGTTGGTCTGAGTCAGAGTCTGCACCGAAGAAAAGTCTCCAGAAATGAACTACAGGGTTTGGACATTTTGGTATGCCGTCGGCGTCATGTACCGCATTATTCTATACATTATATACAGATATTTATTGTCTGAATATTAATATTTTATTACAAATGTAGTAATATGTATTCTCTGCATCGACACTTCCTATTTCTCTCTCGCTCTCTGTGAAATCTTGTTCCTTTCTCCGTTTTACAGTCTTCTATTTCCAGGAATTTCGCTGCTTCCACACTTCGCGACTTTTTGGAGTCTAGATAATTCTAGATGGGATAAAGACTTTTATTTTGAGAAATAATGTCAAACACAGTCTTAATTTGCAGTCGAGTGGACTAAATTAACCCCGTCGTAGACTGAAACACAGAATTAGTAGGTTTTGATTTAGTTTTATTGGATACGGTAGAACTTTCAAGCCCATTAAATATATAGATCACAAACCAAACTAAACAAAACACCAATTTGATTGAACAAAATTTATGTACAGTATTTAATTTGATAAAATACGAATTTCACTTTATACAACTATAAATTGAAGAAAGCAGATGGAATAAATTTTGAAATCTATAATATAAAATATAGCAGATTTCAATAAGTTCATCTGACAGTCTCAAATAGATCCATTCAACGATTACCGATTTCTGTCTCAAAATCATTCACATTATATCGTATTTTCATACATAGATTAGTCCTAGTTCATCAAATAAAAAATGATAAATTCTCAGATGTACTCTTGATTGATAAAAAAATGAACTTCATTGAATAAAAAATAAGTAGTAGTCTATCGATTTTTCAATACAGCACCTTCACTTTTCATTCAATAAAAATGTGTCATTTGTAAACTTTTTCTTATTTTATTACTTTATTAATTTTTTAATCAGTCAAATTGAAATCAACGATCTCAAATCAATTTCAACATGATATTTCTATGATACTTTAGCTTTATCCAAAAAATGAGATATCTCAGTTTATAATGCACTCTTAAATTTGACTCATTAAAAAAATAACTAGACAAATTTAATTTTCAAAATCTATTACAAATGCATTTTGATGGGTCAGGGCTTAGGGATCAACTCATGTGTATAATTACAGTGTAAATAAATAGTCCAATTAGACAAGATTCAATAGGTCCAACCCAAAGGAGTCTACACCCAGTCAAACTCATCAGGGTTCAAAAAATTACATCATAAAGGGAGGTAGGGTCATTCCAATAGCCTCATCCTAGCTACCTTAGAGTGAGGGTCATCCAAGAGCCTCATCAAAACTACCTTGGAGTAATGGTCATCCAACAGCCTCATCTGTGCTGCCTTGAAAAAAGTCAACTACCCCGTCATCCTTTTGACTGAATCTTATGGGAAACACTATAACTGACTCATCCGTTGACAAGATGGCGCCAGCTCCACCACATTTGTCTTTTAATTACTGATAAAGACGACTATAAATTGTAAGCCCCGTCAACACTTGGGGAGCATCACATTCAGTCGAGCACATCTCTCATATCTCTTTCAGCTTCTAACTCTTCCCTCTCGCTACACACTTGAAGTAACAAAATATTCCGGCGACTTTAGCCATTCAAAGTGGACGTAGGTCACGTTGACCAAACTACTGTAAATCCTTGTCTTACTTGTGTCTCTATATCTCTCTATTTTATTATTGCATTTATTACTGCTTATCTGACAGGTGGTGTATAAATTTGATTTGTGCATCATCACATTTATGGAGGAAAACAAAGTTAAAAAAAATACTTTAATTTAATTAATGTTTAAGATGGATTATTCTTTTTTTGCCAACTAGGAATCGGACAAATTATCCCCAATTATTAGAATCCATGATTTTCAGACATTTGGAATTAAAAATCTTTATTATAATTTATGGTTGTATTATAAAATCGATAAAAGTTATCAGATATGAGTTTACATTTGTCGAGGTTGGTTTATAGGATGGCATGATTTAGATTATAAACATACCACAAATCTAATACAATTTTATAATTTTAAACATAAATCATTGACCGAGCATAAATCGGTTCAAATTTATTAAATATTCTCTCCATTCCTAAATATCTGTCGTTTAAGATTTTTACACAGGGATTAAGGAAGCTATTAAATAACTCTAGTATGAGTAAAAAATAATTAAATAAAATTAAAATACTCTTATTTAATACATATTGAAAATGAAAGGAATATAAAAGACACTTAGCCTACACTTAATCTATTAAGCATTTATTGAAAAATAGAAATAAGGGTAAATTTAGAAGAAAAAAATATTAATTATGCTTTGGTTTCATAAAATAACAGATATTGTAGAACAAAAAAATTAATTAAAACGACAGATATTTAGGAACAGAGAGAGTATAAATTTAACCTTGAGGAGTTGGAGTAATTAATTAGCTGACCTATTACCAACTCCACACATATCCATTGGCATCCCATCAATTTTCTCAACTTCCAAACAGTGAATAAATAATGGAGGCACACAGAACAAAATTACATAAGGGAACTGGCTCTGGCAGCAGCCATTTTTCTCTGGCAATAGCAACTTTTGTTTTTAAACAGATGATTTGTATTATCCCGCAGTTATTAAAATCACTCACTAACTTTTAAACTCCAAGCTGTGTCAGAATACTGAAGTGTACTCAGTACAACATAAGGGGAAGTTGAGTCCCAGTCGGATAATTATGAACCGTCCGATGTGACGGTGATTAGATCAAGCCTCCTATGTGGGACCAATTTTACATCGAGTGGTCGGTGTTTATCATTTTTGCTACTTTTTCTTCGTAATTATTGGTACAAATGAAATACGGTATCAAATTTGACACCATACTAAAATTTATCATAAAAGGGATAAAATTATAAATTGATCTAAAACTATTTCTTTCTGTCGTAATTCCGTCAAATTAAATCGAAATTTCACTCTTATTTTGTAGTAAAATCAAGTCAATGGTACATCATATTTTGTCGATGATCAACTAAACTACTGAAATACAATCCAACACCCTACGGAAAACAACAATGAAGAATGATAGACAACAAATCAAAGTCTGATCCCATAATATTGTATTTACCGTTGTTTTGTTTTGAGAATGGGTCTCTTTGTACATCATAAGATTACATTTTGTTTGTATTGGAACATTTTTTCTTTAAACGGTACATGGGTTTGAAATACAACAGAAGAGTGATCAATCTTGTCTTTTGGAAGGAAGGCGAAGCAGCGACCAAGAAAAAATTATTGGAGGTGGGGGTAAAGACAACGGTTTTCTGAATTTTATGTTGATACAAAGTACCCTTCGATTTTGAGGTTTTTTCAAGAATGGGCTTACTTATAGGGAGTTTTAACTTCTGGGTTAATTACAATGATGTACTTCTTAGTTTGGGTGAAATAACATGACAACCTCTTGAGATTTTCAAAATGATATAGAGATCTCTTATATGAAGACCTGTTGATAGATTGGATTTATGTTGAACTCTAGTTCGAATCATACGGTAATGGATTTTGATCCGAGTCAATTTAGTTTAGTTTTCTATTCTTAGACCAATATTTCTCTCATTAACGCGTTGAAATTGGATATATAATTACTCGATTTATATTGGTCCAATTCGAAAGTTTGAAAAACAGCATATGTTGGTGAACACCGACATGCTACCCTATATTTATTATGGGATCAAATCAAATCAGATAAACGCATCATATGCTCCAATGATTATTAATTCAATTTTAGATTATATTTTAGAAAATAATTATTGGTCATGTCGGATTGAAATACAACAAGATCTAATTCATATTGGAATGCCTATATGTCGTAGTTTTTTTTTTTAAATTATCGCTAATGAAACAATATTTTATCCACAGTTGACTAATTTTAAAAAAATTAAAAAAAAAAAAAGAATAATAAGAATCGGGTAAGGATTATTCTGAAATTTTTTTTTTCAAAAAAAAAATGAAAATTAAAACATAATTTTTATCAATATCAACGGTAGGAGTATCATTGTCAAAACATATAACGCTCAAGATGTTTTTGTGTTAGTTCTAAAGTATTAAGTTCTTTATATAAATTTATTAAATCTTAGAGGATGTAAATACAAATTGGATTCTCATTTTCATAAGCTGGAAAGGAATTGCTTTGGGCCCACCATTGGTGGGCAATTTAATAATTACTTGTCAAATATTTATAGAGATGGCCACAGGCCAGCAGTTTGAAGTTGACTTGGTTAACACTACTACTTTTCAAATATTGGGGAAATTTTTGCGTGAAAGATAGGAAAATATAACACAATCATAAGAATATAGTTTAGTGAATAAGATTTTTGTCACTGTGATTTTATTTTATTTTATTTTATTTTTGTTACAGGGTGTTTAAACTTACACCGATTATTTTTATGAGTTCGTATACTAGTCATTGTAGCCTGAATGAAATTAGAATATTTTTTCTGATGAACAAGGGTGATTGACCCTTAAGAAATATAAAAAATATTGAAACTGAGACCTCTAAATTACTAGAGGATAAGCTTAGCTATTGAACGACCTAAGGGTTTCATGGTCATTACTATTGCGGGAATTGATTTATATCGATACTACTTATAAAAAGTAAACTAATTGAAAAAACTTTTATTTTCCAAATCTACCCTTAATTAACACTATAAAACCAATCTTATCCTTAATCTAATGGCCGGTAGCTGATTTAAGAATACATCAGTTAGCCAGTGGAATTTGAACCATTTGTCACTTCTTATGCTTTGTTCATTGCAGTTATCACAACCAATAAATCTACAATTAGGATACCAGTTACAAGAATTTGAACCATTTCTTCTTCTTGTGCTTCTTTTATTGGCAGCTAACAACCAACAAATCTGCAATTAGAATATAACAGTTGCAAAATTAGAAGCTGGATCATTTTAATTCAGGCACTTCATACCTGCTGATAGGCAAAGTTGTTTACAAACCCATTCAATTCTAACACTTCAGCCCACCCTTTTTTTCTCTCTCTCTAAACCAACATGTTGCTTCGGTGGTTTCAATTTGACAGTCCGATGATTGACTCTCAGGTTCATCTTTGTTTGCTTATCAGACTTCTAGCCAGTATGTTTTACTTGCTTATAAACACAGAACAATTGCATCAAATTAATACATATAGATTTTATATTATTCAATC